AGGCTTTTCTTTTCACCTTTTAACTAGGTTCATTAACACCCTCCAGGTCCTTTTAAGCATATAAGTGTTTGTGAGAAAACCCAAAATTATAAATAACTCACCAAACAATACACTAAATGACAGACACCACTATTTTCACAAGGCCGCCTAATAAGTCTGCCCACCTTTTATGTTTGGTTTTGAGATTACAGTACTGTGTTGCCCAGGAGGCTGGCCTCAAACTCAGCAGTTATCCTGTAACCTCAGCTACCCAAACAATGGGAACTACAGACCTGACCTGAACTTGGGCCTTCTGCAAGAGCAATATGGGCTCTTAACCACTGAGCCATCTCTCTGGCCCCACAAATCATTTTTTTTAAAAAGAGCTAAAATTAAAAATTTAAGGATGGGAATGTAGCTACAAATATAGAGCATTTGCCTGGGCTCAAATCCAGCACTTCAAAAGAATAAAGAAGTACTTTAGAGCCAGACAGGGCACACACACCTGTAATCCCAGCATTCAGGATGCTGGCGTAAGATGGTTGGGAGTCTGAGGTCAGCCTGAGCTATGGAGAGAAACCTTGTCTCAGAAAGCAAAACAAAACAAAATCGTTTGTAAACATTCCTAAACTTATCCTCAGATGACGTGGACAGCCCAGACGGGTCCTGCCTGTCTTTTAGCAGTGTGAAACCAGATAAGTACAGGTGTCACCCTCATCAAAGACACATCTCCTTGCAGCAGATGGAGACCATTACAGAAAACCAGACTGATCAAAACTCAGAAGGTAAGTGATTGTGTGATGCCTAGCCCCAAATGATACAGCTACAACACAGTTCCTGCTCAGGGATCATAACAGAAGGAGGCGGGAAGATTGGAGGAGCCAGAGGAGCAGGGAGTTTGCTGTGAGGTTGCGTCTCCTGGAAACATCAAAGACACTACACATACAATATCTCATCAACAGGGCTGCCTAAACAAGACCTGGACAAGGGCAACACCAATGGATGTGTTAACATGGAAGGGAGAGGCCTAATGGGGCCTCAACCCTAGATTAAAAACTATAGACAAGGGCTGGAGAAATGGCTCAGCAGTTTAGAGCACTGGCTACTCTTCTAAAGAACCCAGGTTCAAATGCCAGCTCCCAAATGCAGTTCACAACTGTCTGAGATTCCAGTTAGCCAATACCAAGAGGTCAGCTCCAAAATCACATACATATAAGTAACATCATATGGTGTTTTATACAACACACACACACATATACACATGCATACATATTTGTATACACACATACATATGATTAAAGAGAAACAGACGATGAGAAAATGGGGGGATGGTTAACATGGGAAGATCTAGAGGGAAGAAAGGAAAAAGAGAAAATAATGTAATTGTATTTTAATATCAAAATAACAAAATAAAAATTATTTAGAAAGAGTGTATTTGTAATGCGTGTTGTTTACAATGTTGGCTGTTCTCTCCCCCCATCACCACGTTCCTCCGCAGGAGGCAGCACAGCCCTGGACTGTCCCCCCACGTTCCTCTGCAGGAGGTGGCGCAGCCCTGGACTGTCCCCCCACGTTCCTCTGCAGGAGGCGGCGCAGCCCTGGACTGTCCCCCCACGTTCCTCCGCAGGAGGCGGCGCAGCCCTGGACTGTCCCCCCACATTCCTCCGCAGGAGGCAGCGCAGCCCTGGGCTGCCAGCTTACCTTGTACATGCGGTAGCACTGCTGCAGCACGGAGCTGTACACCTTGTCCTACAAACAAGAAAACAGCGCGTCTCACTGCATCCGAGGGCACAGCAACAGGGCAACTCTTGGCAAAGGCACATGATTACTATAAACTTGGTCCTACGGTAGCTGTATGCTGAAATAACAGGTATTTACATTCAAATTTACACACCAATAAGCCTCTTTTAGAAGGGCTTCACCCACAGAGATGACCAGTGCAAAGCGTTAATAAGACAGGGCACTTATGTGTTTTTGAAGGATTATGTTAAAGTAGCAATAAATAAAAAACTTCCCTATGAACCCCAAGAAGGTTCTTAAAAGCTACTTAGTTTAAATGTGAGTTGCTTGACACATGAGGAGAAGGTTCCTAAAAGCATGAGAGATGAAACTGCACATTACCAACAATTCCTCCTCCTGGTATTCCACAACCGGCTTGCCATCTTTACTTTGCTTTTCAATGATAGGATTCCGAACAACCTAAGAAGTTTGATAAACTGAAATTATATAGTGATATGCTCTTTCTTTCTCTCTTTCTTTCTTTCTTTCTTTCTTTCTTTCTTTCTTTCTTTCGGAGAGAGGGTTTTTCTTTGTAGCCCTGGCTGTCCTGGACTCATGTTGTAGAACCGGCTGGCCTCAAACTCACAGAGATCTGCCCACCTCTGCCCCCAGAGTGCTGGAATTATAGGCATGCACAGGGCACCCCACTATGATCATATGTTTTAAATTTTCTCTTAATTTTAAAAATCTGGGGCTGGACAGAGCAGTGAGGGCACACATCTTTAATCCCAGCACTTAGGAGGCAGAGGCAAGAAGATCTCTGAGTTTGAGGCCAGCCTGGTTTATTGAGTGAGTTCCAGGGCAGCCAGAGCTACACAGAGAAACCCCGTGTCTCGAAAACAATAAATAAATAAATCTGGGACTGGGAATACAGCTCAGTGGTGGAAGGAGAGAATGCTCTCAATGTGCCGTCTGAGTTCCACACATGAGCTCTGGCATGCCTCCGCTGCCTCCGCCAAAATAAATAAACATAATAGAAAATACAGACAAATAAAATCATTTGAGAGGGCTGGGGAGATGACACAAGGGCTTAAATTTGACCTCTAGCATCCATGCAAAAGTCAGACATTCTTCACACTCATGAATTAGAGGCAGCCAGATCCACAAAGAGAATTCCAGGCCAACCAGGACTACTCACTAAGATCCTGCCTAGATAGATAGGTAGGGAGAGAGAGAGAGAGAGAGAGAGAGAGAGAGAGAGATAGACAGACAGACAGGCAAGCATAACTGGCAAGCCACAGATCTTTTGAGAGACCTTGCTCAGAAAACCAGAGGGACTCCTAAGGAATAGAATCCAAGGTTGACATGTGCACCCATACACACACACACACACACACACACACACACACACACACACACACACACATGCTTACTCTTCCTGACATACACAGAAATTATCTCACAAGTTACGCCGCTAGACACAAAATTTCTTTTGTTTGTAGTGTTTATTCCAGATCCCAGGTGAGCACTCTACTACTGAGCTTAATTTGTGCACAGGGTTTCTCAGTGTATCTCAGTGTAGACCAGGCTGGCTTCAAACTCACAGAGATCCTCTTGCCTCTGCCTTCCAAGTGCTAAGATTAAAGGTGTGCACCGCCATTGCCTGGCCAGAAACTTTCTTAAAACAGCCCCAATCTGAATAACAACTTTGATTTTTTAAGTTACAACCAAGTCTACTGTGCTTCCTAAGGATAAAAATCCCCATAACTTTACTGTTACTGTATGTAAATACCATGACCATCCAGAAATTTTCTTCTGGTTCATTGAAGAACTGTCTATTCTTCTGTGTATGTAAGGATTTTGCAGGTTTCGATGGGCTAAACGTCCTAGGGGGGAAAAAGTTTTAAAAACATGGGTGAAATAACTCTAGTAGAAAAAGAAAGAATTCACCAATCTCTACAAACAAAACATACAGGTAAAGTATTACCTTGTAAACTGTACAATTGCTTCACATAATCCAACATTCCTAATTTTTTCATTCTTTTCTACTTCATTTGGATGGTAAAACAAAATTTTATTTTCTTCCTAACAAAGGAAGAAACAGAAACACAGCATTAATGTCAGGATTTATACATCTTAACTCTGAAAGTATTGAGTTTAACATCCACCTCTCCCATCGTAGACACTAACGACGAAACCTAAAAATGTCTTCAGGAAGCTGGGCTTGGTGGCACACACCTTTAATGTCAGCACTCGGGAGGCAGAGCAGGAGGATCTCTGCGAGTTCGAGGCCAACGTGGTCTACAGAGCGAGCTCCAGGACAGCCAGGGCTACACAGAGGAAAAACAAAAAAACAAAAAACAAGACTATGTGGTTTTGCAAATGCTGTAACCTACCTGTCTACAGGCAATTGTGATATTCACCAAATCCCATTTCATCAGTTGTACAAGATGACTTTAAGGAAAATCTAAGATTTCTTTTCCTATGTCCCCAACCCTCACAAGGAAGATAACTGTGCACGGGAATTCAGATCAACAACTTGCACCAAGCTGGTTCAAGAGCACTTGGACTGACAGCCTCTAAATAAAGCTGTGATTTGCTTGTAACAGAACACAGCCCTGGACATCCTTTGAGGAAGTCTCCACCCTCAACTTAGAACAAACGAATACTCTTAAAACTTATTAAAAACAAAAAAAGATTAACTTTCTGAGGCTTTTCCAAGTTTTTTGTTTGTTTTTTTTCCCTCTTTTGGGAGCTACAGTCCACCAATCTGGTTCCACTTTTCCAATGGACGATTTTCGAGAGAGAAGACAAGTTCAATTTTAATTGCCCAGAATTGACGTAAAGGTACATTCAACCCGGGCGGAAGGATTAACCTGACGTACCTTCACTGACAGTCAGGCCTGCGTTGGCAAGTGCCCGGCACATCCCACCGGGAGCACCACCTGGCACGGAGCAGGATCGGCCAGGGCGGGGTAGAGTAAGAGGAGCACCCCGGACGCACCCCGCTGCTCCTGAGCACTGACACCGGCCGCCGGTCCCCGGACCCCGCCCGGTCTCCGGCTGACCCTCGCGCGCAGCCCCCTCAGCGTACCTCTCCCTCGCGCGGCCCGAAGCGTGGGTTGTAGATGAAGAAGCTCAACAGCGCCGGCGGGAACTGCTTCTCCTGGGCCGCCCAAGTCCCTGTCCCGGCCGCCGCTGCCGCCATTCCGGCCCGGCCCCCACTTCGGGAGCCTCCCCTCCGCCCGCTCAGAGACAGCAGCCTTGGGGAACACCGCACTTCCGCCTCCCTAGCGGGCGGCCCGGAAGAGGTCGCTACTGACCCAGAAGAAGAACCCGCACTGCCCCGTCCTTTTCTGGTACGTCCGGGTAGACCCGAGTCCTGCATATTTCTTAGTCTGTGGTGTTTCTTACTTTTTTGGCTCTTGGCTCTCTGTCATGGCCAAAGGGGAAGATCATGAATTTCAAGAGAAATGTCACAATGGGGGTGGGGGTGGGGGGTGTTTGTGTGTTTGTTTTTAAGACAGGGTTTCGTTATGTAGCCCTGGCTGGCCTGGAACTCGCCACGAAGACCAGGCTGGCCTCGAACTCAGTGAAATCCTCCTGTCTCTGCCTCTGCCTCCTGGGTGCTGCCATTAAAAGTGTGCGCCATGGGTAGGGTATTTTGGAAGCATGAAGAAGCGTTTAGGGGAGCACATGCATATTTCTTAAAGCTTGGCCCATTACATCTGGGTTTTGTGTTTGGTTGTTGTATTTTTGGGAGGGAGGAGTTGGTTTTTTGTTTTTTATTTACTACTGGGAGGGGATTGTCATGGCACACGTGTCAAGGTCAGAAAACAACTTGTTGAAGTTGATTCTCCCCTTCCGCAACAAATAAACTGAGTATGGTGGTGTGTAGCCATAATTCCAGGCCTGACAAGGTGGAGGCAGGAGGGTCGTAAATTCAAGGTCATCCTCGAATATATGGCACCTTTACAACCTTACAACTTAGGTTGTAAGCAGTGGGCTATAAACAAAAGTGAAAAAGTCAAAAATCTCCCTTAAGGTAGAGCTGGAGAGATGGCCCAACAGTTAGTCGCTCCTGTTGTTTTCACAGAGGACCTGGGTTCAGTTCCAAGCACCCACATTCAGGCAGCTCCCAACCATCTGCAACTCCAGCTCTAGGGGATCTGATGCCCGCTTTCGTCCTCCGTGGGCACCTGCTCGAATGTGCTACACCTAAATTCATGCAGGCACATATATACATATAAAATAAATCCTTTTTAAAAATCTACCCTACCACCGACAGAGCTGATTTTTTGGAACAAGGGAAAACACGTAAATCTATAGTCTTCTCTGTGAATAAATTAACAGGCCAAGTGGAAACTATCCTGCAGAATCCGATTTCATCAGTCTTCTTAAGTGTTTGTGAAGTAATCCCACACCCTAACAGTTGCAGAACAGATATATGGGGATAGGTTTTTGCTTGAAATTGGATTCCTGAGCACTCGTTTACACAGCACTAAACTGTAGTTGCTACACAGAACTATGTAGACAAGAAAATTGACAAGCATTTTCGATCTTCATTTTCATCTTAATACAGAAAGAACTGTTTTGAAAATTTATAGGCTAGCAAGCAGGACGGCACAGGCCAAATAATCCTAGCCTTTGGGATGTGGAAACGGGTGTATCACCAGTTATAAGATAGCCTGAGGGGGCTGGAGAGATGGCTCAGAGGTTAAGAGCACTGACTTGTTCCTCCAAAGGTCCTGAGTTCAATTCCCAGCAACCACATGGTGGCTCATAACCATCTATATAATGAGGTCTGGTGCCTTCTTCTGCAGGCATGATATTGTACAAATTATAAATAAATAAATCTTTAAAAAAAAAAAAAAAAAAAAAAAAAAAAAAAGATAGCCTGAGCTACATAATGAGACCCTGACTCAAAAAAAAAAAAATTGTTGTTGTTCTTTAAATAAATAAAACAGGGTCTCTGCTGGGCATGGTGGTACATGTCTTTAAGCACTCGGCAGGCAGAGGCAAAAAGATCTCTGTGAGTTTGAGGTCAGCCTGGTCTACAGAGTTAGTTCCAGTTCTCTGTAGCCCTGGCTTTTTTCCTCTCTTCGGGGAAAAAAACAAAACAGGTTATCACATAGCTCAGCCTGGCCTCAAAATGACTATGTAGCCAAGAATGCCTTTAAATTCCTGATCTTCCTGTTTTCACCAAATGCTGGCCTTGCCAACGTGTACCACCTCGCTCAGTAATCCTGAGTCTCAGACATTAAGCCATCCACAAAGCTGGCTTTGATGTCATGCCCACTAAATCCCAAACTACCTCGCCAAGCTACAAGCCAAGACTGTAGTTAGGTAAAAATAGTCCAAATTAAAGCCACTGTTACAGACTAACTAACAAGCAAGAAAAGATCAAAAACAAGACACTTGGTTTTTCAGTTATGGAAAATATATATCAGTGTAGACCTTCATTTTAAAGTCAAAATATTCAGCTCCATGCTGAACATATTTCATCAGTCTTCTGCAGATTAGGTGGAAACAGCAGAGGCAAGCATGAAAATAAAGCTGTTTGTATGCTTGGTTAGCCCTTCTCAGGATCGATAGACTCCTTAGAGTCGTCTATTTTGATTTGGTCCTGCAGATGTCATATTTAAAGTTCTCCCTCAGTGTAACAAATCAAAACTGAGTAGAAATATAAGAAACAGAATGTATGCAGGACATGCAAATGTTGTGTGTGTACATCTGTGTGTGGGGGGGGTGTTCATGCACAGTATATGTATGGAGGTCAGAGGACCAATTCTTTGCATCTTGTCTGAGGCAGGTTCTCCACTATCTATCTGATGCACACAAGTCCACAAGCTCCTGGGGACTCTCCTGTCTCTAACTGCATCACAAATGCTTTTTGCTGGCTAGCCATCTTCCTAGTCCCTGATCACTTTCTCTGATTGTTCCTCCTCCTAAAGACTGTAAAATTAAATTTCTAAAATGATGTTTGGAGATTATATATGGGGAGTATTTAGGGTTGTTTGTTTGTTTGCTATACCATTGAGGTTTTGTTTTACTTTGTTTTGGGTTTTTTGTTGTGAAAGACCCCCGAGGGGTATCTTCCGTCAGGGAGACCCCCCTCCCAAGGATCAACGAGACCAGTTGTTCGGCTGCAAACAGCAAGAGGCTTTATTCAGTACACAGGTACCCGGGGCGACAAAGTCTCTCGGAGGACTTGCGCGCCCTCTGGGTGGAAAGCTGGGTTTTTATAGGGTTTTAGAGCAGAAGCGCGGGTACAGAAGCGAGAAGCATGGTTACAGGGAGCTGATTGGTACATTTAAATGAGACCACAATTTGAGTCAGAGTTTGGCAGGGACACCAGGATACCAAGAACTGGGTGGTCGAAACGGTCATGATGACCCCTTAACTTGGGCCGCCACATGTTGTTTTCCTTAGAACTCCTATCTCAGCTGGAACAGTCCCACAGATATCCCATGAGGGTGATCAACACAAGTTGTTTTTAGCTCAACTGGGGCAGCCTGACCGCAGATATCCCAAGTGGGCGACACAGCTGGGTTTCTCAGTAATTTTCCAGTTCCCCACCTAGCCTACAGAGTTTCTCAAAACAGTGGTATACCACAAAATGGCGTTAGCTATGTTTAACTTAGGGTAAGGCGGGGGGTCTTTCAGTTGTTGTTGTTGTTTGTTTGTTTTTTGTTTCTGAAGACAGGGTTTCTCTGTGTAGCCCTGCTCTGTAGACCAAGCTGGCCTCAAACTCACAGAGATCCACCTGCGTCTGCCTCCCAAGTGCTAGGATGTGTGCAACCAACCCCTGGCTGGGTTTGGTTTGGTTTGGTTTTATTTTTTGAGTCAGGATCTTACTGTGTAGCCCTGGCTGGCCTGAAACTCTCTATGTAGACCAGGTTGACCTCCAATTCACAGAGAGTCACCTGTCTCTGCCTCCTCAGGACTGGGATTAAAGAAGTTTAAATACTCGCTAGTGTATTTAGCACATGGGAGGCAGCGATGAAGAGCCCCAGAACATGGTAAGAATGGGTTTAACATTGGATTAAAAGTATGAGGCCTAGGGAGTGGAGAAATGGCTCCATAGGTAAAGTGCTTCCTGTCCAAGCATGAGGACCTGAGTTCAGATCCCCAGCACCCAAGCAGAAAGTTGAGCAAAGCATTGTGGGCCTGCAGTACCAGCACTGAGGAGCCAGAGATGGATAAGCTTGCCGGCCAGCCAGCTTAGCCCAAGTCCAAGAGAGAGAGATACCTTGTCTCAGAAAATAAGGTGGAGAGTGATTGAGGATCTGACATTGATCCCTGGCCTCCACACACACATGGACCCTTTTGCATATGTGCATACACCACACACACACACACACACACACACACACACACACACACACACACACACGAGTATGAACTGTTAAACAAGCTCCTAGGAAAACGTTTAGGTCTCTCAGATGTCCCTGGCACTCAGTGTCAGCCAAGGGATGGCTTTAGGTGCCACTTGGAAAGCAGCCTAATGAGAAATTCCTGGCTTGAGACTCCCCAGCCCTGTAACAGGACCCTTGAGGCTAGCCACAATTGGTACTGGCAAGTCTAGGTGTGACTGGCTCAAGTGTTGTCACCTATGAGCCAGGAAAATGGTGAGTGAGAAGAGCTGGGGGGGTCAGGGGAGAGGTGGTCCTTGCAAAGGGAGTCGAATAGGAAGAAAAAGTCAAAACAACTTCAAAATGAGTCTGCCAAAGTTGAGCTGTAATAACGACCACTCTAGGTTCTTTAACCCAGTTCTGCTGTTGCTGTCTTCCCTTGCTTACGTTTAGATCTCCATAGCAACCTCATACCCACCGGCAGAAGACAAATGTGTAAGAGTAATTTTTAAGTTAACAGTTATATATTGGTGGGGAGGGCACTGTGCCACAGTGTGATTGCAGAGGTCAGAGGATAACTTTCGGGACTCAACCTCTCTTCTTCCACCATGTCTGTCCTGGAGATTGCACTCAGCTCACCAAGCTTGGTGGCCAGTGCCTCTACTGGCTGAGAAAGGGGGTAGCCCAAGTTGATTGCAAACTCACTATGAAGCCAAAGCTGGCCTTGAACTTCTGATCCTACTGTTTCCATCTCCTGAGCATTGGGATTACAGATGTGTACCACTCACTGGGTGTGGCTCATGTAAGAGTGATTTTTATGGTGGCTAAAATCTCTCTGACGAATATTAATTTCAGAGTTAGCTGGATTGCTGAGAGTAAAATTCCCAGCAGGACAATAATATTTATTTGCAACATTTAGATGCTTTTAAAACCAGATTCCAAACAAAACAAACAAAAACAATTCCCCTGTTCCTTCATATACAGTGTAGTGTGGCTCATCAGTGTTTGAGGGCACCCGAGATCTTTGGAAAGATTGATTTGGTCACATTATGTTGCTGAAGAAAAAAACAACAGTGGCAGAACTACTTATTTTAGCTGGGAATGGTACTGCACATCTTCAATCCTTTCTACCTCTGATGAATTAGAGGCAGGTGGATCTTTGTTAAGTTAAGCCAGCATGGTCTCTCATAGTCTCTCATAGCCTGGAAGGCTAGCCAGGGCTAAATTTTGAAATCCTTTCACAAGACAAACAAGAAATTACCATGATTAGTAGCTTGACAGAATCTAGAATCATGGAAACAAACCTTTGGGCCTGTCTGTGAGGAATCATCTAGATTATATTAATGGGAGTGAGAAGATCCACCATAAATGGGGATGGCCCCATTCCCTGGGATGTGGTCCTGGACCAAAGAAAATGGAGGGAGTGAGCTGAGCACCAGCTCACTTCTTCCTGCTTCCTGACCAGAAGATGCAACGTGACCAGCTGCCTGGCTCCAGCCACCATGCCTTCCCCACCACAACGGACTGTGTACCCTCAAACTGTGAGCCAAAGAAAACTGTCCCTTTCTTCCTTACATCGTTTCTGTCATACATTCTTTTGCAGCAAGGAGACAGTAACTAACACACCCAAACATCAGCCAATGATGAGAAATTATTTTATTGGGTGATTTTTAAAGGCATCGTCTGCCAGGAAGGGGATGCTCACAGAAATCATCAGGACCTACCCACCACCATCAGAGAAGGGCCACAGACCATCTCGTTTCCTCAAACAAGGAGCACTTTGCAGACGGGGGAATCAGCAAATGAGTTTGGGATAGGTTGGAGAGCTCCCAGTCCCAGGACTTTGGAGACCTTCTGGCAGAATGCCCCTCCTCTTTCTTCCATAGACTTGGGCTTTAAGAATGCACCATTTCCTGGAATTCTAGAACAGAAGATGAGAGAACACACTCAGCCAGCGAAGGTGGCTCAGTGTTTTTCAGGTGTTTTGTCCCCTGAGAATGAAAAAGATGAAATAAAGTTCAGAGAAGCATGGTCCCATTCAGAGCATGCCTGGAAGATACCATGAGACACAGGTCCGGGGGGTCGGCAGCATCCACACAGCTTTCCATGCCATTTTACAGAGGCTCTCCCTGTGCAGCTCTGGTTGGCCTCAGAGTAATTATCCTGCCTCAGTTTCCGAAGTGCTGATATCACAGGTTTTTTGCCGTAGAAAAGCTGGGTCGCTTTCCATAGATAATTTTCTTGAGACAGGGTCTAATGTAGAGCACTGGTCTCCAACTTTCTATATAGCGCTCCGCCTCCTTCTCCTCCTGCCTGCACAGCCTAGGTGTGGGATTTCAAGCCTGTGCAGCAACGTGCACTGTTTTCTTTGCACAATCTGTGTGTGTGCGTGTGCACATATACGTGCAATTGTATGCGATGTGTGTGTGTGCACTGGTGGAGGTCAGAGATTGACATCAGGCGGCCTCAACTGCCCCTCACTTTATTACTGAGGCCGCACCGACCACTTGACCCTAGAACTCTGACCTCATCCGACCCATCTCGTCCAGCTTTCTTCAGGAGTCCCCTGTCTTCACTTCCCCGTCGAGACCTGGGGTTGCAGGTGGCCGCCAGGATCTCCTGGGCACCGTTTGCGCAGGTTCTGGGAACTCGAACCCTGGTCCTTACACTTGCGTGGCAGGTGTAGACCAGCTGAGCCGTCACCCCAGCCCCATGCATAACTGTATTTAAGAAATAGCTTCATAGCCACAACCCCTTGGGTTAGAGCTCAACTCAGTCATTTTTCTCCAGCAGTGAAGGGATTGGCGTGACTGTTCACTGTGAACAGCTTTATGGTCAGGTTCATTTCAAATAAACATGGAAGGTTTTCCTTCACTGTCTGTAGCTGTTAGTAGACTCAGACTTTGAACACATTTTCTTCCACTGAGCCCTAATCTTAGCCTGCCCCTAAAGCTAGTTGATATTTCTAAAAGAAAGATAGCTATAATCTCGTGAGAGTGGTGTGTGTGTGTGTGTGTGTGTGTGTGTGTGTGTGTGTGGTACATGTGTAGCTGTGAGCCCACAGAGGTCAGAGGAGAATGTCCTGGGTGTCCTGCCCTGTCACTATCCTCCACCTTACTCCCTTGGGACAGGGTCTCTCACTGAACCTGGAGGTAGGCTGGAAGGCTGCAATGATTCCCCTGTCTCCACTTCAGACATCACTGGGGTTACAGGTGGTGGGGGGGCATGCCTGGCTTTTTACGTGGGTGTTGGGATCAGATCCTCTTGCAGCAAACATTCGTACCCATCTAACCACCTCTCAAGCCCTGACTGTGGCTGGTGCACAGTGAAACTGAAAAGGGAGGTTTGTTTTATATCAATTGGTCCAACTTTTTTATGTCTGTTTAGACATCTTCAGGGTTGTGAATTTTTTTGTAAATTATCATTTAAAATTTGAGACATAGCCCAGGCTGAACTAGAATTCATGATACAGTGAAGCCTGGCCTTAAACTCCACCGCTTGCTAGATGCTGGGATCACACACAAGCTGTGCTTCGTCATGTTTGAATACATGGAGCTTCCTTTGTCTGAGCTGTTTGATCTGGGATACCTACAGCTGCATTCACTCAGGTAGGGTGTACTTCAGTAAGGATCTGCAGTTAGGTATGGGACACATGCCAGCAGTCACAGAACCGGGGAGCTGGCAACAGGAGAAGCAGGAATTCAAAGTCAGCTCCAGCTGCATATCAAGTTCTAGGCCAGCCAGAGCTGTACAAGACCCCTTACCACAAACAAACAAACGAATCTACTTCAGCCTTTTTCATTTTCTCTAATTAGTGCCTCAAACAGGGTGCCCCTATAATGCCCTGTGAGTCACCACTTAAGCGGAAACGTCAGCAGCTTGACAAACTTGAGCATCAACAGTCCTCTGACATCTGAATCTAGGGCGCTGTCCACATAGCACTGTGAATAGTGGTTGGCTTACTTGTCCTTCACTGTCGCTGGTGGTGGTGGCGGCGTGTAAGTCCCCATGCCCATGTGTGCACATGTACATGCAGAGGCTCCAGGTTAACATCATCATCTCCCTCAATTGCTCCCCCCCCCTTTTTTTGAGACAGGGTCTCTCATGGAGCCCTAGGCTCGCTGATTTGGCTAGGTTGGGTGGTGAGTAGGCTCCTAGGATCCACCTGTCTCCGTTCTCCCCACACCACCAGGTGCTGCTACCACAGGTGTATGCGCCACGCCCAGATTTTAACACAGCTGATGGGGACCTGAACTCAGGCATGCACTGTTGACTGAGTTGTCTCCCAGCCCCTGTCCTCTGTTAGATACCATGTACTGGTGGGCAGTGAGCTGTCTTGTTTAAATCCTGGCAGACATCTCTTGCATTATTTTCAAGCTGGACTAAAGCATCTCAAAAATAGTGGTCAGCTAGTCCCTTCATGGGGGGGGGGGGAGCCATTCTTTCAAAGTTCATAGTTAGTGACCAGTTCACAGCCACATTGCAGTGTGTGTGTGTGTGACTCATTCCAATTCTCCTATCTCAGCCTCTAAAGCTCCTGTCTTCCAGAACTGTGTGTACATGTGTGGAGGCCAGAGGACAACTTTGGGGAGTTTGTTCTCTCCCCCTACCATGCAGGCCCCAGGGAGACAACTCAGGTCACCAGACTTGGCAGCAAGTGCCTTTACTCACTGAGCCATCTCATCAGTTCTATCCCAGAATTTGTGTGTGTTGAGGGGTGGGCAGTGCTAGGGACCAATTTCAGACATGCTAAGCACACACCGGACTACATCCTCGGTGACCCCACACCTTCGTGCATGGTTGGCACGCTTGCCTGGTTGCCCTTCCAGAAATCGAATTTCAGGAAAGGGGGTGTTACCCAGGGGCCCACCCCACCCCCACCCGCTTGGGTATCCCTATGTCTACATGTCTTAGGCTACCTACCGTCAGCCCCAATCTTCCCATCTCCATCATTGTCCGCTGCTTCCATCAAGGACTTGGTCTCTGACTCAGTCAGTTCTCTAGCATCGCTCTGGAACCTCTGGAGGAAATACCTACAGCACCACAAAAAGCTGGTGGCAAGTTCCTAAAAGACCTTGTGCTCTCAGCCCCTCCCTTCCTCCCTCTCCCTTTCCCCTCCTTCCCTTCCTTCTCCCCCTCTCCCTTCCTTGGAGTACATGTGTCTGACAGCCACAACATCAGTCAATTCTAGCAAGCAGAGCTCTCCTTTGCTGTTTAAGAGTTTTGTTGTTTCCTTTGCCACAGGAAATCCCTTGAACAAATTGCTCTCTGTGCCTAGTCTTCAGTGCCACATTCAGTGCCCTATGTGAGTAGAGGGGCAGCCAACATACATTCTTTTTCTTTCTTTCTTTTGTTTTGTTTTTCCAAGACAGGGTTTCTCTGTGCAGCCTTGACTGTCCTGGAACTCACTCTGTAGACCAGGCTGTCCTCGAACTTACAGCAATCTACCTTCCTCTGCCTCCTTGAGTGTTGGTATTACAGGTGTGTGCCACCAAGCCTGGCTCCAATTTACGTCCTTTATATGAAGTCCATATGAATATCCAATGCCAGGGCTAACCATGGAGAGAGTGCTAGCAAACAAGGGGACCTCACACCCTGCCCCACCCATCCATGTTCATATGCTCAATACAGCTCACCTGAGTTCTTCTCCATCCAGGTATCCACTCTGGTCATTGTCTATGAACCGAAAGACATCCTTCAATTGGTTGGCTGACATCTTGGAGAGGCCCGATGTCTGGAAGAACTTTTGTGGTTCAAAAGTGTCTGGGTCTGAAGAACAGAGACTAGGTTATCCTGACAGTGGATCATATTCTGTATTTGTGCCCAAGTGGCGAAAATGCAGGCTATTAAAATACTTTCCTAGCATCTCTCCGTGGATACTTGACTCACAAGAGCCAAGTCTAGGTGGTCTGTGACATCACCTTGTCTGCTCTGCCCCAGGTTGCCCTCTCCACTTGGTTTTGCCCACCTCCCCTGCCTCTCGCCCTGTCTCTCTCGCAACAAGCTGCACACCATGTCTGAAGAACCCATGATTGCTGGGAGACTGTGGATTCAAACAGGCTTAAGAGAATAAGTACATTGACTGACTCTTGTTTGTTTGTGGCTAGCCTGAAACCCACTATATAGCTCAGGCTGACCCTACTACTCAGCTACAACCCCAGCCTTTTTACTAAGACTTTTTTTTTTAAGTACTGAGACTTGAACTGAGGGCCTTATGCATGCAAGGCAAGTGCTCTAACCCTGAGCTACATTCCCAGCTCCCCCTGATTTTCCCCCCAGTCCCTTTTGGTAAATTTCTTTCATCTTATGTAAACATAATCACGTACTTGGGCCTTGTAATTCCTATCATGGTAGTGGTCTAACTTGCTGCAGTTCCACTGACAGATTTCTGCGAATCTTTCAGCAAAGTTCACATTTTAATCTCTGATGCTTCACTGGCGGTGGGAACTCATGCCTGCCTGGGGTCTCCTTTCCACTCTGTTATTTGTTTGTCTGTTTCTAAGACAGGGATTCATGCTCCAGGCAGGCCAAAAGCTCCCTGTGTGGCCAGGAATCATCTCTAACTCCTGATCCTCCTGCCTCCATGTCAATAGCGTGAGGAATGCAGGTCTATATGTAATTCTGGGGGTGGAACCCAGGTCTTCATACGTGCTAGGCAGACACCTCATCAGCTGAGCTGCAGCTGCAGCCCCTTGTTCTTATTCTGAGACAAGACCCCACTCAAGTCCAGGCTCCCCTGGAACTTGCTATCCTCCAGCCCCTGTCACCTTGGCATTCCTGCAGGGCTGCCGCGATGTCGTCAGCACTGAGCATGTCTGTGATGCTCATTTTCCACCTAGTCACACAGAAGAAACGAGATGTGAGCAGTGGCGCCAGAGAAAAGGAGCGTGGGGAAGAGCACACACTCTCAGCCACTCGCCACAGAGTACCAAGCCGAACTCAGAAACAGAAAAGACTCTGGCCACCTCTTCTCTGCACTCTGAAACTGCAGTTAAAAAAATAAAAAACAAAACACAAAAAGACCAAGCAGTGCCTGGCATGCATACTTGTAATTCCCATACACCGGAGGAAGGAGCAGGGGAGGTCAAGAAGAGTTTAAGAGGATCTGTGGCTACCCAGTGGACTCCAGGCCAGCCTGAGCCTTTAAAAATTCTGAAACCAAATAAAAGCTTTTTCTTAAGGTCCAATGCTTCTTGTAAAAATTATACTTACCTAATCAATCAGCAAAGGCAGGTGCAAGTCATTTAAAAATTAACCACATTATAAAATCAACATCTTTGTCGTGGATCAGCCAGAGAATTGCAACGCTGCAGACCCCTAGTGAAAGACTAGCCCATGCAGCAGGAGAGACGAAACCCCTCCCAAGTGCCAGCCAGATTTATAAGGAAGGAATTCTGAGCAGGAAATCCACAAGTCTAATACAGTGCATGCAGAGAAGGTCTTGGGGTCTGGTAGGCCCACCTGCTACTCACCAATTTAGATTTGAAATCAGAGGGGGAAAGAGTTGTAGGAACAAACGGAAAACAAACCAGATGGGCTTTTACTACCTTATATAGGATTGAAACTGTGATCGTTACAACCTCTTAAATTTCATGTTCAAGGATCAAGTGTGCGTAGCTCAGGTGTCTTTACCTTAGTAATGAAACCACATACACTCTCTTGCTCTCTTTTCTATTTATAGGAATGTGGGTAGTTACAGCCAATTGAAAGAAAAAAAAAAAAAGAAGAAGAAGAAGAAGAAAACTTCAACAAGCCTTAAGGTTTCGGTTCTTCAAACTGAGTTCAAGTGTGGAAGCCTGCTGGGGGAGGGGTGCAGCTGAAATGAGGTAAGAACAGGAGGTTCTTGCTTATGAACTGAAGACTTCCCAGATGGTTGCTGGGGAGGGCTGCCTTCAGCGCGTGTTGCAAATGTGTGAGGCTGACATCAGTCTCGGGTGGAAAAACCTCAAAAGTCAGTGTCACTGAGGTGTTAGTTACATAATTTTCCTACCAACTTCTTGACTTGGACATTGCCCTGCTAAATCTGAAACCACACATCTCACAAAATGTGTCTGTGCTAACTTGTGTTGCTTTGACACAAGTATTCCAGGCTGACCACAAACTCACCATGTACCTAAGAATGACCTTGAACTTCTGGCCTTCTTGCCTCCACTTCCTGCATAGAGCGCCATCATGCACAGTGACTGCAGCGCTGGGGACGGAGGCCAGGGCTTCCTGCCCACTAGGCCAGCACCCCACCCACCGGGTCACAGCCCAGCATTGTTCTTTCTGAAATGATATTTTTCTGTGTTGCCCCAGGCAGGATGGCTTTGAGTTCACAATCCTACTTCTTCAGTTTCCCAAGCTAATGGAATTACTGCTCCTCTTTCTTTCTTCCTTCGTTCCTTTCTTTCCTTCTCTCTCTTTCATTTTTTGTTTTTGTTTGTGTTTGTGGGTGTTTTTTTTTTTTTTGTTGTTGTTGTTTTTGTCTTGTTTTTTAAAGACATGATTTCTCTGTGTAGCCCTGGCTATCCTGGAATTCACTCTCACCCTGTAGACCAGGCTGGTCTCAAACTCACAGAGGTCCGCCTGCCTCTGCCTCCTGAAAGCTGGGATTAAAGGTGTTCTTAACTACTGTGTGTGTGTGTGTGTGTGTGTGTGTGTGTGTCTGTGTCTGTGTCTGTGTGTCAGTGTATTTACCTGTTTGTATGTGTGCAGACAGGGGTTGATGTCCAGTACCTTTAACAGTTGCCTTGCACCTTATCTTTTGAGAGCCTCTCAGTGAACCTCATAGCCTAGGACTTAGCCAGTCTGGTTGGCCAACAACTTCCAGGGATCCTTGTGGCTCTGCCTTCCCCAGTGTTGGAGTTAGGTGTCTGCCGCCACACCCAGCTTTTTAATGGAGGTTCTTATTCTCATAGGTGGGTTCACGTGCTTTACCTGCTGAACCACCTACCCAGCCCTCCTCACGAAGGACAGTAGAGTCATCTGTATGCACTCTGCAACAGAACTCAGTAACTTTTTCATTCAGAAGAACTTGAAGTTCTGTATCTACTGCACTTCAGCCCTCCTGCCTCAGCCTTCTGAGCAGCCAGAATTACAGGCCTGTTCCACCAAACCCATCACAACATTTTCTTCTTAAACACTGGATTCAACTTTGTTTCTCTTTATTTATTTATTTGTTTGTTTGTTTGTTTATGTATTTGCCTGTGTGTGTATCTGTGCACCAGAAGAGAGCATTGAATTCCCTGGAGCTAAAGTTACATACAGTTGAGAGCTACCGTGTGGGTCCCGGGAACTGAACCCAGGTCCTCTGCAAAAGCAGTCAGTGCTCTTAACCACTGAGCCATCTCTCCAGGCTCCTTTTTGCGTTTTTGCCTGTAATCCTAGCACATGGGCATGTTCCACCAAACCCTGCTAAAGGTATGGCCCAGGCTAGCCTCTTCAGCATTTAACTACAATTGTGTGCTGCCATGGTTGGCAGAAAATGAAGATAACGCCTGGACATTGTAATACATACCTGTGATCCTACTGTGCGAGAGGCAGGTAGAAGATACAGCCTAAGGTACATATTGAGACCCTGTCTCATTAAAACAAAAAGGAGAGGTCTAAAGGAGAGCTCAGGTGGCAGAAAGAAAAGAAAAGAAGAGAAAAGAAAGAGAGACCGTCTAATCAGAAGTGGGCCACCCATGTGGCTGGTTTGGAAAGTATATTATTTGGCCTTCCCTGGTTTGATAGTATATGCTCATGTGCTAGGATTACAGGCAACAACCACAAAAAAGGGCCTGGAGAGATGGCTCAGTGGTTAAGAGCACTGGGTTCTTTTGTAGAGGCAGTTGGACATTGGTGTAGGGAGTAGAGAGAGTCCTGACTGAATGCGTATTGTTTGGTAGGACCACGGCCATGTCAAGGACCAAGGGCCTCAGCCCCATAGATTGGCAAAGCCTTCCCCAGGTGAGGCTCAGAGGGATGGCTGAGTGCAAATGCAGACTATGTGCAGAAATGTCCAGCAGAGCTTTCTCCCCGGGAATGGTTATGGCTGGAAGACTTCTCCCCTACAGAGATGGGTCCTACCCAATTAGCTAAACCTGCCCCTTGCTCACAATTTGTGCACACAAATTGTTCACAGAATTGTATATAATACCCCTGCCTCCCTGTCCATCTGTATAATATCCCTGCCTCCCTGTCCATCTGTATAATATCCCTGCCTCCCTGTCCATCTG